CTTCTTTATGGATAGTAGCATATGCAACACGGTCTGGGGTCCCAGGAGCTGGTCCCATGGCTTGGAATACTCCATAGCCTGACACCGACGATGTCAGACACATGCTTAAAGAAGAAAGGAAGGAAACAGTAGCATCGATCTGTTGAAGACTGGAGTTCCTGCTGATCATCAGGGTTTATCTGTAGGTCAGACAGGCTCCTTGTGGTCTATATTCAAGGCTGGCCTTAGAAACCCCTGTATCATTGCTCACGACTGCAGGTGCAAGGATTGGCTGCTGCATGGGTACACGATTGTCAGACTTCAAGACAGGCATTGATTGGTGTGGACATGCCTCCGGGGTGAGGCAAGCATCTGCAAAATAGCTGCCTGCTTGGCTTCTGGGCCGTGGTAAAGACCAGGCAGAGGGGACAGTAAGGTGCAAGGCGAAGGTGCTTGACTCCTGACAAGAGAATTCCCCAGAAAATGGCCACTTCATGGACAAGCTTGTCCATTATTCAAAAAATAGCCCTGGTACTTGGAATCCTAGCAAGTGCAGCAATTGCCTACATCCTTTACCGCCGATACAGGAAAAGCAGAGAAGAATGAATGACATTTGTTGGAGAAGATGATATTGAGCTAATGATGCGAGTTCACCAGGAGGCTGTGAAGCTGATCATTGGTGGACAAAAGCATAAATATAAAGGTCTCATGGGGAAGGGGGTGCTACCTCTCAGCCTCCATTGCTGAGGTTACTGAAGATAAGGTTTATGAAACAGTCCTTCAGTACTTCTTTATGAACTTTAGTTAATACAAGTAGAAGAAATGGAGAGTCATCTTAGGAAATGTAAAATGTCTTGTATGTGTCTGTATATGCACATCTAAAGAAATAAAAAGAATGTACTTCTGGAAAAAAAAAAGAAGAAAGGAAGGTTCTTCTTCATCAATTCTACTTATCATTTGAGCTGGTGATATCTAAAGAAAATTGGCATGTTCAGTAGCAGGCAACACTACAGCACAAGTGCTGACCCAGAGGGCACTGCCTCAAGAAGCAAACTAGGGCCCCTCATTTTAAAAAGCAGTCCCTCCCCATTTCCCTGAGACTTCATGCTGGTCATGTAAATTTAAAAGATCTCACTACACCCTCACCACCAAGATTTACCCAAGGTCCCAGTGTTGCCTAAGCTAGTATTTCAAAGCTGGTGAGTTTTTAATTTAATAATTTTCACATTTTTGTAATTCTTTCCAATCAGTAATGCTAACTCTTATAGTTAAATTGAGACGCTAATTAGCAAATGCCCAATTCGAATGTTCTCTGCCTCTGAAACTCGTCCTGATCTAACCCACTCCTCTTGTCACCTGGGTAATGAATCTCTCCCCTTTGTGCTTTGTACATAGTATACATCTTTTATAAAGTCTACTACTTTACTACTTTCAACTTAAGTGTTTGTTTTCTTCGTTAAGGCTTCATTACTGACTCTTGAAGTGGAATTAGCATGGTTTTTTTGGACTGGAATTTACTCCCAAAGCCCATGAGAGCAGGTACCCACAAAACAAGTGCTGATCTGAACATAATACAAGACTCAGCTAGGGACTACACACGACTAGCAGATCTGAACAGAATTATACCACAGAAGGTCCATCCTAACAAGATAATAAAACAAATCAAGTATTTTAGCTCTGAAGTACCCCATTAATTGTTACTCCCACGATTACTTTCTGTTACAAAGACCCTTCATCCTGAGGAAGCCCCAGGATGGTAATTAATTCATAATCCAAGGACATCTCAACTCTGGCTAACTCTAAGCTTCCACATGAAATAGACAAGAATGAATTTTGTAATAATTCAATAATCCTCAGATCTACTAGAAATACCTTTTAAGAGGAAATGAGAGAAACGAATGTTTTAAGATTATATAAATCTGATTCAGGGAATTGACACAAATGAATGCTTGAAATACTCCCATGGTTTTTGTTTTGTTTTGTTTTCTTTTCTTTTTGGGGGTGGGGTTCGAGACAGGGTTTCTCTGTGGCTTTGGAGGCTGTCCTGCAACTAGTTTTTGTAGACCAGGCTGGTCTCAACCTCACAGAGATCCCCCTGCCTCTGCCCACCCCTCCCGAGTGCTGGGATTAAAGGCCTGTGCCACCACCGCCCGGCCTTTTTTCTTTATTTTAATGGCTTAACAACAAATGTTTTGAGAGCTTGGTGTTGGACATTTAAAATAAAAACAACCACCATGATCTCTGCTGTTACTTTGAAATTCCAGGCTTCAATTATTCCCCTCCAAAGGTCAAGTGAGAGAAACTGAAAAAGAAAGCACTTCTAGAAGAAACGCTGAGTCATGTGATCCAGGTGATCCAAGCTGGCTCTTTACTCCCTATGATTTTGTAATCAAGCCAAGGTGAACGTTAAGCCATTCAGGCCTGTTCTCTCTGCAAGCAATTTGCTTTCCACTAAAACTTAAATTTCTGAGCCAAAAGTAAAAGTATAGAGAAGTACTCCAACTGCCTGGTCCTGGAGGTGTCACCAACAGAGGAGTTCAGATGTAGAGATGATAGGGGGGGGACAGAAGGAAGAAGAAAGGTAGTGCACAGCTGGGATCTGTCTCCAAGCCTTGTCACCAAACAGCCAGAAGACACAGGGGATGCCCCTGGTCAGCCACAAAGCTGAGCTCACAGCTCAATAATGCCAGTGGGATGACCTCCCCCTCCCCAAGAACAGAGACTTAAGTTCAAAATTAGTCTTGGCATTTACCTTCCATTCTACAAGCAGTATGGTCATGAGAATGTGGATTTTACCAAACCTTGCTGTCATCAGCCAAAGCAAAGTGTTCCTATCACAGCCAAGACAGGGAACTGCAGAAGTGGGCTCTGATGTACTCTCACAATGGGAACCCACCACACTGCTGTGTTGGAGCCAACTTGCTGACCATGCCACTACCGCAGACAGCTAAATTCTCAGGGCCATGGGCAGGTTGGCCACAGTGGCTGGAGAGATGGCTCAGGCGATAGAACACTTAGTGCTCCTGCAGAAAACCTGAGCTTGTTCCCAGCACCTGCATCAGGCAGCTCACACCTGCCTGTAATTCCAGCTCCAATGCCGTCTCCGTGGGCGCGCGCGCGCGCGCGCGCGCACACACACACACACACACACACACACACACACACACACACACACACACACAGAAAGGGGGGAGAGAAGGAGGGAGGGAGGGAGAGAGAGAGAGGGAGGGAGAGAGAAAGGAAAGAGACATATCCATACTGATAAGTAAAAATAAAAAACTTTAATAATTGTAGAAATTTGAAATTCTTAAACGTACACCCAAAAATAAAGATAATAAACACTCAAAATTAGTTACTCCTGTTTATTTTGCCATTGACTAGGGTCCTGATGCCGGTTGCAACTACCACATCTAATTCATAGAAAAACATACGACAGAGTGCATAGCACTTTCAGACCTGCCTTTGGCCACTTCTATGGAGACGGCTACAATCAAGCATAGAAGTGTTTACACCCCCGGAAACCTGCTGGCAGCAGAAGCCCTCTGGCAGAGCCATAGTGCTCACACTTACTGGACTTTGCCACCTCAAGTATTTATCAGCATCTTTTCACAGAGCTGCCATGTTTGAGCTGGCCCATCTTTTGAGTCAGAACAAAGGCTTACACACAATATGAATTGTAAATCACAATATGGAGTATACGGACAGAAAGCAACCACACTTATTGTGACCCTGTGATGCTGTAGAAAGCCCTATGGCCGTCTCTCATGTCATACTAGGGATTATCAAATTCAATACGCAGGTCAATCAACTGGGGCGGGTACTAAATGCACTAGAGCAGGTTAGTTGAATAACTAACAATTGTTCAAAAATACAACATCATGTGACAATTTCTTCCAAGGCTCATGGAAAGCCAGAAAGTTGGAAAAGAGGCTCTTTAAGACTCAGAGTTCTAGAGGGAAGCTCATTAAGACTCAGGAAATAAACAACTCAGAAGTCCCCAGGAGTTCTGGAAATTGACCAGATGTACTAGGTTACATAAGCAGCCAGGGCTGCTGAGGAGACCGAGGCTAATGGAGTTGCCCAGACAAGACACTGACCTGCCTACAAGTCATGCAGAGCGCACCAGGGTTCCAGCTTTTGTGAATCACTAGCCATGCTGGGGTAGGGTTTCACTGATGGCAGCTGTCTTTGATTCATCCCCACTTCCATAAGTCACTCAGACCACACTCCTGCAATCAACAACCCCAATACAACAAGCATTGGGTCTGCAGGGTCTGTCCAGGGTTTCCTACCAATGGTGAGCAGATATTTGTGTGACATCCTCTCTAGGGTAGTGCCACACATGGAGAGGGAAGAGTTGTGGACAATTGATCAAATTGTATTCATTTAGCAATTTTGTTCATAATTACTTCTAATACCTGCAAGAGCTACCTAAAGAAGTGAACTCTTGGGGTCCCTGAAAGCAAGGACACCTGTGTTTTCAGGTGCCATTCCCAGTTCAACTGCTGCCCTAGGACAGGGAATCCTGTCATCTGCTACTTTTGTTCTGTCCATCAGCACTGGTGCACTCACCTGAAAATGATGTGTCCTACAAAGAAAGGCTCACACGCAATAACAACCTTCTCAAGTGTCAGCATCATGTTCTGAGGCTTCTAGATTACTTATTTTTTCTTACTCCTTATTTTAATTTTATGTATGTGGGTGTTGTGCCTGCATGTACGGCTGAGCACTATGTGTCCAGTGACTCAGAGGCCAGAAAAGAATGCCCAGATCTCCTGAAACTGGAATTGCAGCCAGTGATGGGCCACCATGTGGGTGCTGGGAATTGAACCTGGGACCATTGGAAGAACAGCCAGTGCTCTTAACCACTGAGCCACCTCTCCAACTGATATCTTACAATACATTTTCAGTTTTTACACATTTACTTCACTTGACTGTACTGTCCTTTTGCAATAACTTCTTAAAAATGATTCACTCAGTCATTAAAAGCATTCCAAAGAGCTAACAAAAAATTTACTTACAGATTATTTTAAAAAGATTCTTCTCATCTTGGCTTCCTGTAAGATATTAGCTTCTCCCAGTGTTCCAGTACATTTCCATCACCTGGTACCAGGAGAAGGGATCTCATTAGTTGCATGGCCTTTACTAACAACATCTATCAAACACACCACAGAGATAACAATAAAAACAACAAAAGCCCCAATGGTTCAAAATACTACCACTTACTAGCCACAGACCCTTGGGAAAATAATTCCTCTCCCCAAGCCTCCATTTCTTCATTTCTAAATGAGCATCAAATATCCCCTACTGTATGTGTGGTAGTGACAGTTAAGGAAGTTAAAGGGCATGGTCAGCATTCTTTGATCCAACAAAGGTGTCGTCCTGGCAACAGGGACATCCAACACTTAATGATTACAACTTCTTTATTGCCCACATGTTGAGCTCATCAAATACTGAAGATCCTTGTACTTTCACCCAATAATGGAATACACCAAGCAAAGTGCTTGCTTTTTGTAAAGAGGAAGTCATTCAGAACAGAATTTCACCTCTGTTTTTAATCTTGTAACAGGTAGGGTCCACAAACTAAGAATAGGACCTTTGTGTTGTTCTTTTCACATAGGGCCATAATAGAAACACACCACTTGTGCCCCTGAAGAAGGCAAGCATTGGTCACTTTATGTGAAGAGCATGTGGCTCCAGACAGACAACAGTGACAGAACAGGCACATGACTTAACTTTCCTAACTGATGCCCTAACTGAGAGCAAAGAGAACGACAACAGTATTGCAATAGTCACCTGAAGGAAGGACAGAGGTTTCAAGTTACCCAAGCCAGAAGGAGGTGCAGGATGGACCAAGAAGGGAGGAGAAGGAAGAAATGCCATATAAATCCAGGGCCAGAAAGAACTGGCCAACAACAATAAAACTGGGGAAGGAACGTCCCTCCAGAGAAAGACCAAAGCCCCAACACAGAGAACGGCATACTCATTGACCAGCTATGGCTTTATATGCCTGGCCACATTGCAAGGAAGCTTTTAAAAGTCTGATAAATGCTGTACAATTTGATATAGGTTTAAAATGAGTAGGTGTGAAGCACACCTAGCTATTTAACAGCCGTGTAATCTTTGCCAAATTGTTTGCTCCATCTAAGGCTCAGTTTCCAGGTCTGTAAAATGAGAATGCCTACAATTGAGAGCAGTCACACAGAGATGAGTGTGTAGACCCTTCATCCAAGGTGTCCTCAAAAGAAAATCCCAACTAGCATGTTACTAGTAATGATTACAGTACAGACTATTCAATTCCTTGTTATAAAAGGCAATAGTATGCAACCCAGTAAATTCATAGACTGCCTATGTGGACATTTTGGAAACAGGCTAACATCCTACTTCTGACAGTAACACAAACTTTCCTAACATTTATTTTTCAAATTGATGTTATGTTTGCAGTTTTTAAAAATCAAAGTATAATTACATCATTTCCCTCTTCCCTTCCAGCCTCCCAAATACCCTCCCTCTTCCTCTCCCATTCATGGCCTCTTTTCTTTAATTATTAGTTATAAATACAACCTGCTGACTCTGTTTAATGTAGTTTGTATGTATATAATTTCGGGGCCGAACCCTGGGTGTGGGTTAACTAACTGGGGAGCCCATTCCCGGGGAGGAAACAATCTCCCTGTCTATGCAGTCACCATTTCCTCGTAGAGTCTCTTTCCACACTAGCATATCTGTTGTGCTGTCCTTCTTCAGGTTGTATTTAGGCAGCCATATTGTTGAGGTATTGTTGAGCGACAGCATCCCTGTCGCTACCAGGAGACACATTTTCATCACAGTGGAGTGTTAAGGATAAATTGCCATCTTCTCTGGCAGCCCTTGCTGCCAACAGCCAGCAGAAAGCACTGAGTATCTGCTGGTGTTGTATCACTACCGAGTTCTTGCTATGGTGATAGACTCTGGACTGTAGAAAATGACTCATTTCCATAGGAGGCACTGACCTATGGGGCACTCCACTGGCATCTACAGAGCACAAGGGCCATGCTCAAAATGGCAGGCAGTCCATCTCCCTCAACACCACGTTACAGTTTCACTGAGCACAGTGTGGATGAAACCATGCCAACTTTGAAGCTAAGTATTAAAACTCTATCTACAGAAGGTCTCACTGAAGCTTCTAAATTGCTCTTTTGATACTCCTTCCCATAATGCAGACTGCTTTTATCTTCAGAACTGCTGTGGACAATGTCCATAAGGGCATCTGTCTCCTTTGAGCAAAGTCACCACTGATGCATGGCCCCAAAACACCTTATTTGCTATCGTGGGAAATATGTTAATAAATTAGTTAAAAGGATTAAAATCATGATCAAGGGTGGTAATGTGCCACCGCTATGGTTAGTTGTTCCAAATGATTAAAAGTTACACCAACAACAAATGAACCACCCATTCATGCTGCCAAGCCCTGGAAACAGGGAAGGGGATTTAAAGCCCTTAAGGATTCAGGTGGTTTAAATGAAAATGGCCCCCATCACCTCATGGCCTTGCTGGAAGAAGTGTGTCACCAGGAATAGGCTTTGAGGTTTCAGATGCTCAAGCCAGGCCCATTGTCACTGTCTCTTCTTGCTGCCTTTAGATGTGGGTGAAGAACTCTCAGCTCCAGCACCACATCTGTCTGCATGCCACCATGGTGAAAATGGACTAAACCTCTGAATGGTGAGCCAGCCACCAATTAAATATTTTCCTTTATAAGAGTTGCCATGGTCATGGTTCTCTTCACAGCAATAGAAACCCTAACTAAGACAAGGATGAAGTTCACATAAGATTGCTGCACAATAGGAGCGCCAGCAGAACTAAGCAAATAAGTTAGGTGACCCACTTAACAAGGACTATCCAGATATGTTAGTCCTGGTGAGACTAGCACAAGCCTAGAACTCACAAACCATGCTTCAAACACAATGTTAAAACTACACACACACACACACACACACACACACACACACACACACACACACACACACACAAAGCCTGGCCAAAACCAGTGCATCCCTTTTGTGTGTGTATATGGTGCTGAACATTAGACCTAGGCCATCGGATATTGCTAGCCACAAATCATACCACGAGTTACAACACCAGTAACTATATATTCCAATTTGAATGTACACTCTACCTTCCAGAGCAACTCCTTCAGGCTATCAGGAAGAAAGCTGGCCAGATTCAAAAGCAATGGGCATCCAGAGTCTGAACTGCACCTAAGGCTAGTCAGGTGGGAGAAACTCTTACAGGAACAGGGTTAGATCGTTTCTGTTTCTTATTTTGTTCCTGCCAGGGAGCTGGCTCACTATAAAAAGCTGGGGCTTCTCTCAGGAAACAGTGTCCTGAGTCACCAAAAGCATGTGCTTTGTGGTCACGAGAATTGGATTTCCCAAATGAGTCCTGAAAGATCTTGAGGACAACCATACATTTTCTGCACACCTTAATTTCTTTATCAATAGAATGGTGGTGGCATCGGTCCTACAGCTAGATGCCATACCATAGTTACAAGAACATAAATGATGCTTTTAAGTAAAGCCCATGGAAAACAGTGTCACTACATGTTATATTATCCCCAATGTTAGCAGATAAAGCAAGTTGTTATGTCCACGTAACAACAAAAATTAGTATCTCCAAGAGCTAATCATCAATTAGTATGATCCAGGCCATTTCACCAGGTGACCAGAAACGGTTTGGGGTACACAGTTGCTTTTAGCAATAAAGGGCAAACTGTCTGCCTGATATCTGTGCTTATACCTCAGGAGCAGCAGCAACAGCAATTAGAAGATGCTGGCCAGGGGAAGAGTTCAGAAATATTAACACCATCCATTCAGAAGTAAAACTGAATGATGTACTCAAGATGACTCAGTTCATGGTCAATTCTGGGTCTCCAACCCAGGCAGCTTCAATCCTTGTTCTTACCCACAATACCACACTGTCACTTCAATGCTAAGAGAAGTAGCTGAAGACAGGACACAGACCAAAGGAAGGCCCTAGAACAACAAGAAGTAGCACCCTAAGCTGACTGAAGACAAGAAGATTGGAACATTGAGAGTCAGTAGAGCCAGAGAGTTAACAGACAAAACATGCTTATGCTACAAACTTGACAACATAGCCTCACCAAAAAAAAAAAAAAAAATCCCCAGATGAGGGCACCATGAATGTCATCTTGTTTTAGAACCTGATGCTGGCATGAAGAGCACAGGGACCACTTGGGTCTTTTTAAATACAAAACATACTATGATTTAGAAAGAACTCCATAAATGCTACTCTCAGAGGGAGGGCCCTATAGCATGCAGCTCCTTTCTGAGTTCTATTGTCTTTCATTGCAGTTCCCTTTTTAAAGACAGAGAGGAAGAAAGAGTCACTAAGGGCAGATGAAGTCTCTGAGGGTGCAAAGAGGTAGGTAGAGAGAAGGGAGTGCAGCAGTAAGAAACCTAGTTAGTTACACAGGAGAATGCACAGAGGAAGGAAAGAGAAATGATTGTCCTGGCCAAGCTCAGGTGTGGTGGACTCTAAAGTGCCCCGTGATCTCTGTCTCTTCTGATTCATTCTGTAGGCAATTCCTTTCCCTTGAGCACAAGTGAGTCCTATGGCTTTCTTAGAACTGCCAGCATATTGTTGAAATGACAGGATATGTGTGTGTTAACACTACAGGAGATTGTAATATCCATTCTGCCACAGGATTCTCTCCCATGCTGGTTATGAAAAGAAAGGCTGCCACGATGTGAGTTACATAATGATAGCTACATGAGGGCAACCTCTATTGACAACAAGAAACCAAGATGCTTGATCCAAGCACCCACAAAAAAAAAAAGAAAGAAAGAAAGAAAGAAAGAAAAAGAAAGAAAGAAAGAAAGAAAGAAAGAAAGAAAGAAAGAAAGAAAGAAAGAAAACGAGCAAGCTTCCCCGGCTGCCCCACTGATAAGACAGTAGCCACACTAACTTCCTGACTTCAACATGGTCAGCATTCAGCTACCTGAGGCCCAGATTCCTGCCCCATACCAGTCAAGCGATCACTTGATCACTACTAAGTCAGTTGACCTGCAAAGACTGTGCTGTGCTGATGGCCATGTGTCTCTAGATAA